TTCCAGTTGCTGGGTTGGCTACGTTAATCTTCATGTCAGAACACGCAGTTTACTTTTTACAAGTTCCTAGGGTTTACTTTTTTTTTTTCAATCAGTTATTTTTCAACTCAGTAACAAACAATATTTAAATTAGAATATTATTATAACTTAATTATATTTATAAAACATACCAAAAATCAATAAATATTATAATTAATTAGTAAAGTAACAAACAATCAATTTCAGTTATTTTTTTCGTAACATTACTCTTTATTATTTACTTCTTTAATTTCTTTTGGTTGAAGCTCTTCTATTCTTTTGATAAGTTTAATTTCTTTATGCTTTTTACTTTCTCTTTTTAAAGGAGAACACTCTTCCATCAATACAATTACTTCTTTTTCATCAATTGGTCGTTTAATTCCTTCATACGCTAAATGAGCTAATCCACTAACTATATTTTCTTTTTTGACTTGTGTAATTACTGGTTCGTGGCTAAACATTGTAAGTATTTCGTCAACGGCTGGATAACATATTTTTGGTAAATCACTTTTAATGTCTTTAATAATCACAAGCATTCCACTACCAATTAGTAATTGTGTTATTTCATTATTATTTAATTTACAAATATCTTTTAATGTACAGATAATATTTGCTTGTGCACAGTCAGTAGTTTCAGATAATACTTTCAATAGTTTTTCAAATATTTGGGTTTGAATAATATATGGAAGAACATTAGGAGTTGGTAACTTAATAAAATTCAATAAAAGTGATGAGAACCGTTCAAGGTATTTTCCTAAAACTTCTTTAGTATATTTTTCTTGAGTATTTAATGGTTCCATTAAAATATTCATGATTAATGGAATAAATTGTTCACAAAGAAGTGTTTGGTATTTTATGACACCATCATAAGCGATAGTACTATTTTGTAAAAATGAGAAAATACCATATAAATAAGATCCCTGTTGATAAATTCCACTTCTAACTATTTGTTCAAGTAATCCATTTTCCATTAGTAATATAGCAACATTACTTCCTGATTCAAATAATATTGTTAATGAGTCTAAGTAATATCCTTTATATTCTTCATTTAAACCTTTGAATATTGTAGTTAATATTCCAGTTTCAAGAATTGATTTAGCACGTTCTTCCCTTGCAGAGAGAGGATATAAAATTAGTGTAGAACAATATTGTTTAATAGTAATACTAATTCCTCTTCTTGACTCTTTATCATTATTAGTCTCATATTTCTTAATAAGTTTTTGAAATATTTGATCTTTTATTGACTCTTCTAAAATTTTTCGTTGTGTATTACTCAGTCGAATATTAATAGGTGTCCCAATTGATTCATCTGAAAACCGTGCCACAACAATGTCTCTGAAATAAGTTAATGCAAAAGCATATTCAACCAAATTTTTTACAGCAAATGACCGTTCAACAATTTCTTTAATACCAGTTAATTTTGTTTTGAAATCATCAAAAAAATAAATACGATTTGTTTGTGGTATTTGAGGGTCATATGATAATATTACAAATAATGCTTTTAGTGTTGAAAGTTGATATATTTCATCTGAAATTTTTTCATCAGGTAATAATAATAATACTTTAACAAAAATGAAGATAGACTCAACTATATCTTTCTTTGTAGTATCATTTATCGTTTTAGAGAATTTTATTAATCCATTTATAATCTCTTGTAGTGTTAACTTTTCAAATAAGATTGACGTATTACGTGATGCTAATGAAGTAATTGCAAGATCTCTTATTTCTTTAATATTTTCTTCTGTAAATGCTAAATAAGTAAGTGATTAATATGAAATTTTTGTTAAATAAAAATAACTAACAAACAAAGTGGTCCATCAGTTATTGATCTAACACCAATCTCAATAAGGTTATGACATAACTCATTACATAAATTTTTGTCAAGAAATGATAATGCGTATTCATTAGAAAATGCCTTACCTTGTATTTGAATTACTTTATCATTTTGTTTTTCAAATGCATCTCCTTTAATCAGTCTAACACATATAATTTTGTCTGGGACATAGTCATTTTTATCAATTTCTTTTCTTTCTCCCTCTGTTGATAATTTGTTTTCATTATTTTCAGAAAAAACCTCAATAAGTACACTATCATCATTAATCTCTACATTAAATATACCAATCCCAATTTCAACCCAATCATTTTCTTTTAACCGAAAGACTTTAACAAGTTGTTTCTTACTTTGATTATCTTCATTGGCTTTTGTTTCTATACTTTGTTCACCCATATGTCTTTACGATTTTGAGTTTCTTTTTTTCTCTTTCTCTCAATAACAGTTTTTAATAACATTTCCTTCCTTTTTTGCAAAATTCAATTTCTCAATTTTATAGACTTTCCTAAATTGCGAGAACAATAAAAGAAACCCTAAAAGAGTGAAGTAGAATTAAGATGATGAAGTTTTGAATAGGACCAGAGAACCCAATAGAAATGAAATACTAAAACGAAAAATGAGATTCAACTATTAATCCCAATTATTATTTATGACCGAACTTAACTCTGATCGTAATTTTGTTGGAGTTGATCATGTTAAAAATGTTATTTTGGTTCTTTCAGGAAAAGGAGGTGTTGGAAAATCAACAATTGCTACAGCACTTGCCCGCTCTTTTGCACTTGCTGGTAAAAAAACAGGTATTTTAGATATCGATTTATGTGGACCATCTATTCCAAAGATGATGGGACTTGATAATCAAGGAGTATACCAAGGAGAACATGGAGGAATTCTTCCTGCAAAATCTAAAATTGGAGACACTTATATTGATACACTTTCTGTTGGATTTATGTTAAGTTCACCTGATTCACCAGTTATTTGGAGAGGTCCAAAAAAAGGAGCTGCTATTGAACAATTTTTAAATGATGTTGAATGGGGAGATAAAGATGTTTTAGTTGTTGATACACCACCAGGAACATCTGATGAACATATTGCTATTATGGATTTCTTCAGAAAAAGAAATCAAGAAACTAAAGCTGTTATTGTTACAACACCACAACTTGTTTCTACAAACGATGTTGAAAAAGAAATTGATTTCTGTCATGAGTGTCAAATTCCCATTATTGGTTTAGTTGAAAATATGAGTGGGTATTTATGTCCTCATTGTTCTACTGTTACTAATATATTCTCCAGTAATGGTGGTAAAGAATTAGCCGATAAATACCAGCTTAAATTTGTTGGTGCTATTCCTATTGAACCAAAAATTTGTTTAGCTGGTGAGACTGGATTAAATCCATTTGCCGATGAACCATCAGCAAATGCATTAAAACCAATTACTGATTTTGTAGCCGATCTTGCTAAAACTTTTGCTTAATTTAATTTTTTCTCAACATTACTTTAAAATCGTTTTTATAAAGAATGATTATTAAAATAAGATAGTAGGTTACCACTTTTATTTTAGTGAAAGTCTTAGAACCTTTTAGCAACACCAGCTCAATTTGATTAAATCAAGAAAAAAAAGAATTACTTTATTTTAAATTGATTTGTTGAATTTAAGTAATAATACATTATTTCAATTTGTTATAATTTTTTTGTGGAGTTATGTTACAATGTAATAAAAATTAAGCAGCATTTTTAATTATTTTTTTATGACGTAAATAAAGTTCTAAATAATAATAAACCGAAGGTATTATCAATCATAAATATTCATACTTTATATTATAAGGAGATTGAGCAATAGAATGAACAATAAACGGATGATTCTTTTTAAAATGTTCCAGCATTTCTCTTACC